AATTTGTAGGATTAATGTCCCATTAAAGGTGAAAAGAGGTTTGAGTTGCTTTATTTTGCCTTTTAATAGCGATTTTTATTTCCGCTGCAAAGAAAACATCATGCTGAAGTCGTAAAATCCCAAACTATGTGACTGCTGAGAAAAAAAACTGTCATTCTGGTTTTTATAGTAATATTAGAGACACAGGAATCTTGTTTACTTGAGTTTGGCTTGTGAATTCCTCTCAGCTCAGTTTCTCGTGTCTCTTTGCCAAATTGGAGGTCCGTCCTCCCGTGTAGCTGCAAGAATCTCTCCTTCTCAGAGAGACGAAGGCCATCAGTAGCGTCTCTCATCAAAGAGCAGCTGCCGGTGACACAAAGCCGGCTGTTGTGTGGCAGCGACGGTCGCGGCACAGCTCCGTCTCTGATGCAACAGTTCCGTGACAAGACCTGCTCTGTGCAGGGTGACTGATGGAGGAGCGTCCAGCCTCCGTCTGGAGCCAGGTGTGTCTCTGTTAAAGTGAAAATACTGCTGATGGGGAAAACTTGAAGAAAACTGTTTCATTTTTTAATGTTTTTGTTTCCTTTATTCATGACATTGTTGTTTACTATGTTGGTTATTTAATAAAGTGTTGAGCTGAAAAGTAAAAGCAGCTGTTTGTCTTTCCTGCTCACTTCCTTCAAGATTTCTGGGGTATAAGTTGGGTATGAACATCAGGAAAGCATCAGATAATCACTCTATGCTTCAAATGCTGCATGAAAGTATTCACACTTTTTAGTATTTGCACTTTTTCATATTTCATCATGTGAAGCATCACATGCTCATATAGTGACGCATGTGATATACCAGGAAAAAAAGGAATATAATTTATAGTTATCAACTGTTTATAAAGACAGAAATCTGAACAGTGCAGTATCCAGTTCCCATGGAAATGAATCAGTTCTTTTGAAGCTGGCTGAACTAGTTCTTGCTTAGGATGAACTGGACCAGAACTATGGGGCCGTTTGTACAATTATCCAGTAAAAAATTAATAGCTATAACTTGGCTTATTTAATCTGTTGTAAGAAGAAAAAATGGAGTTCATTTAATTCATTCATTTATAAATATCACAGTTTCAAGTAAATATTTCATTTGGAGATAAATATTTAGCTTCAAACTTAATATTTAAGATCCTAACTAAACATTTATCTTTAATTTTAATACTTTGCTTACTAATTAGACACTTAGTTTGAGACTAACATTTATTGATTTATGAATGACGAACTTTATTCCTAGCATCGCCCATGATAACATTAGCCGCTGCTAGCTGGATGTGCTAACAAACAGCCAACAAGAACCGGAAACTGAGGCCCTTCAACAGTCAGCACAGACTCCGCGTACCTTACACACCCAACGTGTGTCGATAATATTGGCCACATTTCTTTTTGTGAGGGTGAGGA